CTGGTGAGCATTTGTGACCAAAGTAGCAAGAAGGGACCATGGACAGAGGCCAGGGCCACACCTGGAGGAGCCAGGGCCTCACTCCCTGCACCCAGCGTGTCTACCTTAAACTTGGTTCCATAGCGCCGCCTGCAGACATTACCCCTCACAGTGGGGATGCCACTGCCTGCAGGATGTAGGGTGACCTAGTTGGCAGGGTAAAGAACAACATGGTCACCTCCTGTGAATGGTCTCAAGGCCAGGATCTCACGAGGTCCAGATCAACTTGCATGTGCAGAGCAGTGAGACTTTTCCTGGGCTGGGGAGCTGAGGGGGGCAGTTCAGAGACTTCTCAAAGGCGAAGACAGAACACGGCCCCCTCAATGCAGCGGATGACCCACCTCTGGAAGCCCAGCGCTTTCCCCTTTGTGAGGAGGGGGACAATCTGGTAGGAGGAACTCCGGACCCCCCCAGGACCCAGGACTGCTATCCCCCCGACTCATCCCCCTGCCCTCAATGTTGTCACCCAACCAGGAGAAGGTGGTTACTCACTGTCTTCCACAGTGGGCTGCCGCCAGCACCCACTAGCTATGGATGAGGGCCCCAGGCATGGATAGTCCCACTGGGCCGTTTGGGAATCACAGACACACAGTCCATCGCACCATGGCCATGTGGTGGCTCTGTTTCATCCCCTCCACAATGGCCATGATCTTAGACCCTGGGTTGTGAGACGAGGAAGCAAAGGAGGAAGACACCAGGGACCCAGGTGCCCCATCCTGCAGCTCAGTTTGGCTGCCCATCTGCAGATTCTCCCCAGGGACAGGAGTAAGCAGGGCCCTTCTCGTATGGGGTCCCCAATCCACCCCAGCATGGCTCCCTAGAGACCAGGGTCTGGTGTTAGACCTGTCAGCATAGAAGGCAAGAGGGTCCATCTTTCCCATTTTCTGGACAACTTTGATTCACACGGAACCCAGATGGAAATAAGCTATGCAAGGTAGATTCTTCTTGTCCCAAGTTTAAAACTTGAAAAAGAAAAATCCTTGTCCTGTATTTTATGATCG